CTTCTATCAGTAGCTGGAAGAATTTTTCCACCTTGCACCCTGGTACCTGGGGGGCTGAGAACTGGAGTCACCAGGCCATCCCAGTAGATCCCACTGTGGGAGGTCAGTTGGACTGATGGTGAATCTGGAAATAACTAATTATTCAAATGTACCCACTCTGGAGGTGGTGCAGGGTAGAACCTGGAACTCTCCCCTGCTAGTGGGCGGGCAGGAAAGGACAGTGGGGTTAAGCAGTGCAGGGACCCTTTGCTTTGTGATCAAGGGAGAATCTGCCGTGTTGTATGTTTGTAGAAATGCTTTCCTCCTGGAGTTTGTCAGGAAATGAGTCTGAGTGGATGCATGGACAAAGATCCACTTTTGTTGTGTTTCGATGCTGAATTCTTTCATCGAAATCAACAAAAGTAATTTAGCCTTTGTGTGTAATGTACTGGTTCTGGTGGGTTTTCTCTGAAATGTTTTAGAGGCGTTCTGATATGAAGTGTGGTTGTTTCCCATCTGTTTGAAAAATGGCAGCTTAAGCACTCAAGGACTTTAGTAGAATTCTTGCATGTTTGGTCTTAATTTGGAAAATGACATACGTCTTTAATAAATCTGCAGCAAATCAGAACCCTGCAGCAATTCTGAATCACTGTTTTTCACCAGGTTTGCAGAGATGAAGCAAAACTTATTTAGGGGTTAATAAAATACCTCCTTGGCTCCAAGCTCTCCTCTGCTTTCAAATTCACTCCAAGTGCCTATACGAATTTTTCCGTAAACAGAATTCTCATCTTTAGGATGCTGATCAATGTCTTGAATTCCCAAAGATAGATTTATTTTCAGTGTATTTACTAAAGCATGAAGAGGGACTAATACTTTTTGGGAATAATTGTGCAGGAACTGAAACAGTAGGTGCCTTGGTGTCAGATGGCTGGAGTTTGAATCCTGGCGTAGCTGCTTGCTAGCTGAGTGACCTTGGGCAAGTCCCTTATTCTCTCTATGCCCTACTCTCCTCATCTGTATATCAGGATATAAGTAAATCCTACTGTTCAGTGAACTAATATTTTAAAGTGCTTAAGAGAGGGCCTGGTGCTATGTGAGTGGTTTTTAAATTAATACAAAATAAGCCTGGGGGACACCTGAGTGGCTCAGTTGGTTAAGTGTATGCCTTTGGCTCAGGTCATGATCCTAGGGTCCTGGGATCGAGTCCTGCATTGGGCTCCCTGCTCAGTGGGGAGTCTGCTTCTCCCTCTCCCTTTATTCTTCCCCTCTGCTCATGCTCTCTCTCAATAAATAAATAAAATCTTAAAAAAAAAAACCAAACCCAAACACAACAAACAAACAAACAACAAATAAGCTTGGGTGAATGCTCACAGAATTTAATTAACCGGAACATTCCAACTATCAACTCTCCTCATTGTTTAGGACTGGTAACACATTCTAAATAATTTGTGTATATCTTTTGAATTGAAGGCTGCTAATTAGTTATTTAATGTCTTATTTGACACAATTTCTGACTTCATGAAAAGTTGAAAGAATGGTATAAAGAACTCCCATAAGCCCTTTACCCAGATGCACCAGTTACTCACATTATGCTCATTTGGTTTTTAATTCAGTCATTCACTCTTTTCTTCCTCCCTTCTTTTCCCCTTCTCTCCTTTCTCTCCATTTTTTCCCCCTCAGAATCATTTGAAAATAAGGTGGAAGCCTTTGTTTCCTTATTCTTAAATATTTTAGGGTGGGGGCGCCTGGGTGGCTCAGTCGTTAAGCGTCTGCCTTCGGCTTGGGTCGTGATCCCAGGGTCCTGGGATCGAGCCCCACATCGGGCTCCCTGCTCCGCGGGAAGCCTGCTTCTCCCTCTCCCACTCCCCTGCTTGTGTTCCCTCTCTCACTGTGTCTCTCTCTGTCAAATAAATAAATAAAATCTTTAAAAATATATATTTTAGGGTGTATTTTTTAGTAATAAGGACATTCTCTTTCTTATCTACAGTATGATCAAAGTCAGGAAACTTAATGTTGATACAACACTGTAATTTATTCTGCAGACTGTATTTAGAAATTATTAGTTGTCCCAGTAATGTCCTTTAGAGCTGTGTGTGTGTATGTTTGTGTGAATGTATATATGTGTGTATGCAGTTTATTCTGAGGAAAACTGTGTGTGTTGTATTTTTTCTGGTCCCAAGATCCAGTGTATGATCAAAATTGCATTTCGTTGCCATGTGTCTCTCCTTTATTTGAAACCATTCCTTAGAGGTTTTTTTTTTTTTTTTTTTTTGGTCTTTCATGACCTTGACACTTTCAAAAGCAATTACGTTTTAGAATGTCCCTCAAATTTGAGTTAGTCTGATTTTTCGTCCTGATTAGATCTAGCTTTAAGGTCGTTGTGTCTTCTAATTCTAAAAGGAACTGTGATATTTCATCCCTGTAAATTTTTAGACTGGAAAGATGAGGAGCTTGATGCTTTACTGATTGACATGTGTGCAGTGAGGTGGGTGTAGCAAAACCAACAAAGATATTCCGAGGGTGCTTATCTACAAGTAAATGACTATATTCCAAAAGAATAATCCCCTTAGGGAATTCAGCCTACTAATGGTGAGGACAAAGAGATCAAGAGAAAAGAGAGGTAAGACCTCACTATTTCCTTGATAAAAAAATCAAGTGTAGGCAGAATTCTTTCCTATGTGCAATGGAAATAAATTAAACATCACAAGAATGGTCTCCTCTGGCTGGGAACCTCAAAGTTTCTTGGTACCAGGAAACATAACCAGGCATTCTGCTCTTTTGTTGGAAAAGAGTGACTGTCCCTATACAGTGCCAACACATCAGGGGAAAGATGAAAAATGTAGCCTGGCCTCTAAATGCTGAGTCTTTGAAGTTCATTCTGAGAATGACTGGACATGTGAAAACATTTGTATTTTTTTGAGAGAGAGAGCATGAGTGGGGGTGGTGGTGGTGGGAGGGGCAGAAGGAGAGGGAGAGAGAGAATCTTATTTTATTTTATTTTTTTTTTAAGATTTTATTTATTTATTTGAGAGAGAGAGAATGAGAGTGAGCGAGTACATGAGAGGGGGGAGGGTCAGAGGGAGAAGCAGACTCCCTGCCGAGCAGGGAGCCCGATGCGGGACTCGATCCAGGGACTCCAGGATCATGACCTGAGCCGAAGGCAGTCGCTCAACCAACTGAGCCACCCAGGCACCCCGAGAGAGAGAATCTTAAGCAGGATCCATGCCCAGCGTGGAGCCCCATGTGGGGCTTGATCTCACGACCCCAAGATCGAGATTTGAGCCAAAATCAAGAGTCAGACGCTTAACTGACTGAACCACCCAGGTACCCCAGAAAACATTTTTTCTTAAGTCTAGATATGGATGGTGTCTTTCATCATGAAAAATTAAAAACAAATGAGTATGGAAGCACATGGATAGAAATCACTGTGCTATGGCTGGGAAACAAAAGAGACAGAAATGAAATGACTGGAAGCAAATGCTTTTGGTGCCATGCACAGAATTACTGATGGTCTTGAATGCACTCAAGTTCAGAAGTGACAAGAAAGAGTTAATCCTTTTAAGCCAGTGCTTAGGGTATGCCCTGGGAAAATCTGACCAAATGAGTTACTGCTCAGCCTAAAATTAAACTCCTGGCTCCTTGTCTGGCATAAAAACTATTAGATCACATTTCTTTTCACTGATGGATCCATTTTTTAATGAATTGAAAAAAGAATCCCCAGTGGTTCCTTTTGTGTGAAGAAAACAAGATAAATATTAGCTAGGAAAGGTCATTTTGGTTTCCAGTATGTGGGAAGTTCATTATGATGGATTCTGATAAATTATACTGTGTATTTCTTTCTGATAACAGAAGGTCACACTGTGCCCTTGGGTGGACATCAGGACAAACATACTTAACAAAGTTGGAGGAAGTGGGAGATGAACATTTTCCAGTGTTTTATTTTTTCCCCTGAGTACCTTGTATTTGTACAGTTATTCAAACCACTCCCTCTTGAGCTACTCACTCAAAGCTTACTCTTTTTCCTTTGGCCCCAAAGGGGTGGGTCTGCAAGTCCATCACCTACAGTATTCTCTGGGCAAACTTGTGTAGTTATCTTCAGGGGAAGATATCTAAAGAAGAGAAAAATCTCAGTTGTGCTTTGTGGCAGATTTGTAATGGGTTCAACGGGATTCTAAAGTAACTAGACTGTGTCACAGGATCATTTTTATCTCATATTTGCAACTTTAATATTTACCGATGCGCATCATTATTTTTCCCCGCTCTCCACCACTGGGAGGGATGTTTTTAACATAGCAGTGTTAAAAACGGTGTCGTTTCATGGTCTATTTTTTTTCTCTTGAGATGTCTTTGGTTTGGAAACATCTGAATCCTTCTTGCAAAAATGTTTTCGCTGAGTAGAAAAGTCCTTTTAGGTCTGTGCATTAAAGGAGTGTGTTGAATGTCAATTATGGTATTAACAAGCATTCTTTGTATGTTGGTGTGATGTTTTCTATTGGATAGACGTTTTCTCTCTTCCTCCCAAAAACATTTTTCAGAAAAGATCCTCACAGATTGTTTAGCAACATCTGCAGGTTTATGTCTCACAAATATAGGAATTCAGATCTTCATGCTGGCTTTTCCACTGCTGTGTGAACTTGGGCAAGTTGCAGAATTCTTGGGAATGGACCATCTCCATTTCCGTTTTCATCCCATTGTTAATGACATGGGGAGAATGAAATTTTGCATCATGAAGGTTGGGGATCCTCTATCAAGTTTGGAATGCCTTTGCTGCTGAGATAAGTTCTACTTTAAAATTGTATTCTGTTAACTAATCTGTGATGAGTTAATGAGTACTGGATTCTGTGGCTTTTCTCCCTCCTATATTAGGACTCCTTACAAATGTGGATGCATCTGGTTGCCTACCACTGTCCTGAAACTGCAGGTTTCATGGTAAAAAAACCCCATTATTCTGCTACTGGAAATCTGTTTGATTTCAACATTAACATGCTAATGACTTCCTGTCCTTGTTGTTTCTTAAATAGGTTTTTCCAAGCTAAGATAATTTTTTGGAACTGCAGAAATTGTTGGCCCTTGCTACAAATGGGAATTTGGAGTTGCTTTGAAATCCATCCTGAAATAATTGTGCTTGACTGGAACCAAATCTTATGAAGTCACCAAGGTAAAATGATTTTAAGAGACACCTAGAGATGGTTTCTTCATGAAGCATTGAGAATTTAGCAAAATGGAGAATCCTAGAGTTGATGATCCTTTATAAATGGTGTCTTTTTACATTGAAATTTTGAGTATTTTGGGAATCTTAGTTTTTCAAGTTTTAGTTCTCATTTTGGAAATCATTTCCATTTGTAAAGCAGCATTTTGACTATTTGGTAGGGTGAAAGGTGAGATTTAAAGATAAACCAATTTTGTTTTACGTTTGAACAAAATGTTCAAGGGGGAAGCAATTGAAGTTGAGGTATTATGGTAGATGTGGTAGGTCAGAAGTCCTTTGGGGGTCTGGATTATTGGCCACAATAAAGAATGATTGCTGAATAGCTGTCCACTCGTCCCCTGGTATTTCTCCAGACAGTGATAGCTATTGTAAAGTAAATACCTGCCCTAGGCAGTGGAAGCTTCACCCAGGAACCTGGTACATAGAATTGTCTATGTACGAAGATGGATCAGGGATCAACTCCTCAGGTTGGAATGGCTGTCCTTGAGACTTCAGATTTGGGGTTTGTTGTTGGGATCCAACCAGGAAAACAGACCATACTGATAATGTGGGACATAAGGAATTGAATTCAGGGAATGTATGTAAAGGGAGAGTCAGAGAAGTCAAGCAGAAGACATGGAAACAGCCCAGAGATAAGGAACGAGAGGAAGCTACCACCGTCCCCAGGGCTGGTCGGACAGATGAAGGAAGTAGTGTTTGCCAGCACCTAGGGGAAGGGACCCTCAGTGAGAGCTAGAACCAGAGTGGGTCTTTTGGCAGGAACTGGCACCATGCAGGAGAGATGGCCACTCCATAGATCCTGCCCAAGACGGAGAAGGTGGGAAGAAATACCCCTATCCTTTTTCTTCCACTCTCCAGGCTCTAGCTACTGTCTCCTATTGGTTAAATCTAGCTGATTCAGGGGCCTGGAAAATGCAGCCAATGAGAGTGACCTAGGGGAAGGGAAAAGAATGGATCCGAGGGCAAAACAGGCCCAGGAGGGGATGGGCTTCCTATATGAAACCTCTTCCTATGACATTTTAATGGGCATGGCATGGCCTTTTATACCTCAGGATGGGTCTTCTCTTGAGGATGACTCCACAGCCTCAGAAAGTAAATTATGCATATTGCATACGCCATCTTCTATTTGAAGATGGATAGTAGTAGACGCTATGATGCAGAAGGATTTATTCCCTCACTGTCCAGAGCCCCCTTTTGGAATGAAGCCTTATTCCCCCCTTTAGGAATGAGGACACACCCAACTGAAGAAGATGGCCTACAACTTCTTTGAATTATTCTCAATTCAAAGAGTCCCTTGCCTAAAATTACCCATCTTTTTAAGGGCAGCTCATATCCAGTGATGGGTCAACATGGAAGTATAAAGCCTTGGCCCCTCACCCCAGCTTGGGACCACTGAGAATGGGCATTTCAGCTTTGGAACTCTCCACTGGGTTATCTGAGGCCTTTTCCTCCTCCTCTCCTGCCTTCTTCCCTCCCTTGCCTTCCCCTTCCATAGGTGATATCCCTGGACTACCCCTTGATTAACCTCCTGCTCACCAATTCCCAACCTTGGGACTCAGATCATCTCAAATATACAATCCAATTTGTTAAAACCCTTCCAGACAAGTTTAGGTGATATAGGGACTGATAAACAGATGGAAACTGAATTTCAGTGGTACATTAGGTAGGAGAGATTATAGATCACCTGAAAGACCTAGTCTGAATTTGGAGACTAAATTGGGTGGGACTGTATGGTTAGAGGCAGGGAAGCCAACCCACTAAGCAGAAGAAAAGTATTTAATGATACTCAGTGGAGGGTAAATAATTAAGAAGCCAATAGGGATCTGGGCATCTGGAAATTGGATTAAGAACAAGAAGGTGGGTTTCAGAACCAGATTGAGTCTGATAGGTTTATTAACAAGGAGAGAGAGCAACGTGTACTCGAGGTTCTCAGCAACATTGCTCACATCTCGGAGAATGGATGGTGTATACCCGGACTGGGCAGGGAAGATGCTGGTCTGCAGGTCAATTTGGCAGCACTGGGGAGTGACAGCTGAAGGAAAGGACAGTGAGGGAGAGCACATTCCCTTTGGGTAATGTTTTCATCAGAGTCCATTTTCAGTGATATAAATCTTGAGATTAACGTGTGTGATTAATCACTTAAATCAGTTAGATTGAATACCTAGTTGGACCTTTGTAAACCACATATATGGATAAATTTTTGTGATTAGGATTGTTTGCCCATTTTTGGTAGACAGAATTCTAAGATGGCTCCTAAGATTTGTACCCTTCTGTGTGTATGATCTGGGTTATTTCCTTCCCTTGACTGTGGGCAGGTTTGTGAATATGATGGGGTTCACTCCTGTGGTTAAGTTATGGTTATATGACAAAGATGAAGGGATTTTTCTCATTGTAATTACGGTCTCAAATAAATTGATGTTGAATTAATCAGAAGGTAGATTATCCTGGATAGGACTGACTTGACTTGGTGAGCCGTAGCAAAGGACTACACTTTTCCTGATAGAGGAGATTTGGACTGAAGCAGCCATATGTGGCCAAGTTCAGGATGCCACATCTCAGAGCTGAGAGCAGGTCCTGGCTGATAGCAAGAACACAGGGACCTCAATTATATGGGCCTATGGAAATGGATTTTGTCAACAGCATGTAGGTGGTTAGAAGTCATTATTTCCCCAGTTGAACCTCCAGATGAGGACACACCCAGATGACATTTTTATTTCAGTCCTGTGAGTCCCTGAGCAGAGGACCTGGCTAGAATGTGCCAGACTCTGACTTAAGGAAACTATGAGAAACTATGGAAACCATGTCCATATTGTTTTAACTTCTGAGTTTGGCAGTTTATTTGTTATGTCAAAATAGAAATTAGTACCCCATTTATCTGATTCCTTAAAATTCTCCCTTTTGGGGCCGCTAATTGCTGCAAACTGGAAGCCAAGGTGCCTTATCCAGCCTGCAGATGTATTTTACTTGGTCTATTTTGCACTCTTTTTTTTTTTTTAATTTTTTTTTTTAAAGATTTTATTTATTTGAGAGAGAGAGACAAAGAGAGCAGAGGCAGGGGCAGAGGGAAAGGGAGAAGCAGACTCCCCACTGAGCAGGGAGCCTGATGTGGGGCTCGATCCCAGGACCCTGGGATCATGACCCGAGCCGAAGGCAGATGCTTAACCGACTGAGCCACCCAGGCGCCCCTGCACTCTGTTTTAGTAAAAGGCGAAAGATTTATGCGATCTGAAGAGAAACCAGAGTATTGCACTCTGTTTTAAAAATAAAACAGGGCACCTGGGTGGCTCAGTTGGTTAAGCAACTGCCTTCGGCTCAGGTCATGATCCTGGAGTCCCGGGATGGAGTCCCACATCGGGCTACCTGCTCAGCAGGGAGTCTGCTTCTCCCTCTCCCGCTCCCCCCTCTTGTGCTCTCTCTCTCTCTCTCTC